TTGGTAGCGACGCTAGAAAGATCAGAAATCAGAGTATAATAAAAAATGTCGAAAAGTCCAGATAATGTGGCCGAATTGATTAAGATCATGAAAGAAGAAAACAAATGCATGAGAGAAGAAGCTATAGCAAGAGAAACAAGGTTATTTCTTGCAAGTGCAACTGTTAAAACCTATTCAGGTAGTAAGGTCTCTACAAAAATTCAATATTTCCTTGATGAAATATTTTGGATTTCAAATGGATTCACTGACGAACAAATGATAATTGTAGCAGGAAGAAATATGTCAGGCATTGCAGAGAAGTGGTATTTAGCTTATCAAGAAGAAAATTTACATCAAAGTGATACTTTCGAAGAATTTGGTGAAAGATTAAAAAATCAATTTGGACAAGCATATGATGTACAGGTTCTGCAAGCTAAATTAACTGCATGTGTACAGCTGGGAAGAGTAGAAGATTACAATAAACGCTTCTATGACATTTTGAATGAATTTCCGAAAGACTACTTTAGTGAACAAGCAAAAGTAGCTAATTATCTTTGTAATCTTACAACAAAACTAAGATGCGAAGTCAAAATTAAAGATCCAGTTAATTTATGTGATGCTATGAAATATGCTGGAATAATTGAAGGTAAATATACTGGAAAAGCAAATTGGGAAAAGAAATTTATAAAAAGGCCAATAAGGGGATTTAGACCTAAAAATAATGATATGGAAATTGATAATGTCTCAATGAAGAAACCTAAAGCAAAAGATAAAAAATGCTACGGATGTGATAAAGAAGGTCATTTTGCAGCCAATTGTCCTAACAAGTCAAAAAATTGAAGCAGTCAATTAGTTGGGTCTGATTTGACATGCCTAAAGACCTGAATAAGAAATTGACTAGAAAGTCAAGAAAAGATATCACAGTAGATGTCAATCAAGTTAAGTTAGAGAAGAAATTTGAGAACAAAGAACCAAAACAACTCAATGAAAACGAAGATATATATGATAATATTCTAAAGGAATATGAATCAGAATTAGAAAGTACGGAGATACAGGATAAAAGAAAATGTATCATGAAAATTCAAGGAAGTATTAAGAAATTAGAAAAACTATTAGAAAATTCATGCGATGTGAATTTTGTGAGAAACTCTAAGTTGGGAATCCAAAGAGAAGTCCAAAGTAAGAGGCAAGGGTAAAAGTAAACTTCAAGAGTCGTTATTCATAATTCCAGTAAAAATTGGAAGTAAAGAAAGTAGAGCTTTAATAGGTACTGGAGCTCAATGTAATTTCATTACACCAGAATTGGTAGAGAAAACGAAATTAAATACAGAGTTAGCACCAGAGGCAGTGTTGACCACAGCTACAGGCGAAGCAATAAAGGCTAGCAAGAAAGTTAAATTGAATTTAGAAATAGGAACGAAGCTTGTAGAAGTACAGATGTATGACGCTGCATTCAAGACTACCAGAGTTCAAGAGTGTAACTCATAGGATACATCTCATACCAGGAGCGAAACCTACGGCAAGACCACCGTATCGAATGTCGCAATATGAGACAGAAGAATTAAAGAAACAAATAGAAGAATTGTTACAGCACGGATTTATTCAGAAGTCGAGTTCA